GGGTAGGAATGATGTATGTCCAACATCTACTGCCCCAATGGCGAGATGTTTAGAAATTACAAGCAGCCTTCACAAATTACCTTAAGACAAATTGCCTAAAAAATTGTTACTTAAGTAGTCCTGAGCTTTTAACAGAGATCCCAGATAATTCTCAAGTGTAAATTGTTAAATTCTTTTCTTAAATCTAAAAGTAGGCATAAAACTCAATAGAAAGCAGTAGGATAGTCGGTGCCATTTTTATCCTAATCTCCTCCAACACATGCCACTCATTATGTAGATATACAAAGTTTAGAAATAGATATTATCTCTTTTCTTTCTCAAACAGAATGAAATATATAGAAGTTGTCTGAATTTTTAAAAGATATTTATTTTTTAGCTTTAGGTGGACACAATATTATATTTTTATGCAGTGCAGAGGATCGAACCCAGTGCCTCACACATGCCAGGTGAGCGCGCTACTACTTGAGCCATACCCCCAGCCCCAAGTTGTCTGAATTTTATTTTAAAAGATACATGGTACAGTTGATCCTCATTAACTGCAAAGTTATGAGTTCATGTACTAGCTAAAAGTTATTTATAAATACCTAAAAATCAATACTCACAGCACTTCAATGGTCATTTGGGGATATCTGAGGATAGGCAAAAAATTTGAATTGCCCAGCAACACTCTGCCTTGTTATTTCAGCTCATACCATAGACAAGTGTCCTTTTCATGGTCTATTTAGTGTCATGTTTTTCATATTTTTGTACGTTTTGTTGGTGTTTTTTCTGTTTGAAATATTGCCCCCACCCAACCCTCACTCAAGTGTAAGGTTAAAGTAATAGCTAGTACTAAGTGGAGAAAGGCTGTGATGGAGAAAATACATGTCAGATAAGCTTTGTTCAGGCATGAATTATAGTGTTGTTGGCTCTGAGTTTAATGTCAATGAATCAATAGTATATTATTAAATAAAGTATTTTAAAACAGAAACACTCATAAAATAAGGTTGTTGACTGGTTGACAAAAAATGATCTATCCGAGCCAGGCTTAGTAGTGCACACCTATAATCACAGAGGGAAGCTGAGGCAGGAGGATCATAAGTTCAAACCCAGACTGAGCAATTTAGTGAGGCCCTAAGCATCTCAGTGAAACCCTGTCTCAAAATAATAAGAAGGAAAGGAATGTGCCTCAGTGCTTAAATGCCCCACCCCCTCAAACCTGGACACGCCCTCCCCCCAAAAAAAATCCTAATCTTGTGTCTTGCCTAGGAACAATACTTTAGCATTCACTAATTCCTTGGTCAACATAGAACATTACCACTGCAAACAATGAGAATCAACTGTATAAATATTTTTTGAAACATGTATTTTTCTTTCCCTCCTTTTCCTCTAGTAGAAAAGAAATGTCTCAGGAGCAGTAAGTGGGGAGGTTCTTCTAAAGAGTTTTATAAGTAAGCTGAGAGGTGCAGATATAGGGAATAAAGATGAATCTGTAATAAGAAACTAATGCCTCAATAAGAAATTGAAAATAAACTTGGGGAATGTGATGATCATTATTATCCAAAGTATAGGTATGAAGACATGAAAAATTGTGCTCTATATGTGTAATAAGAATTGTAATGCATTCTGCTGTCATATATAAATAAATAAATAAACCTGGTAGAAAGTTGGCAGGGCCAGAAGGCTAGGTAATGTATTTATTCAACTGCCTGTGTATTCCTTGGTAACAAGCCATAGCACTTCAAGCTGCAAAATGGTTGTAAAAATGTTAAAAATACACACACTATTCCAAGGACTTGATTAAGGTAGGAAGGGAAGTGCAAAATTTAAAGGAGGCTACAATCAAAGGAAATTGATAGCATAACTGCAAACTTTTACCAAGTAGAATATATAAAGTTTTAAAAATGAAGCATTTTGTTTATGCTGCAAAATACCACTCCTGTCTATAATATCCACATCGTTAAATGCTTCTTCTTCTTTTTTTACCTGTATTTATTTATTTATTTTTATGTGGTGCTAAGGATCGAACCCAGGGCCTTACAACTACAACCCCAGCCCCCTAAATGCTTCTTTCAGAAAGATGTTTCTAAATGTTCCTTTCACAGCTCAGTCTCATACATTCTCTCCAAATCCCTTTAAATCCCTTAAAAAAAAAAGATACAAAAAGCCAGGTGTGGTAGCACATGCCTGTAATCCTAGTGGTTCAGAGGCTGAGGCAGGAGAATTGCAAGTTTGAGGTTAGTCTCAGCCACTTAGCAAGGCACTAAGTAACTTTGTGAGACCCGTCTTAAAGCAAAAAGAGCTGGGGATGTAGCTCAGTGGTAAAGTGTCGTAGTCTCCTTTCCCCTTGCCAAATACAGATACAAAAATTCAGTGGACATACAGTACATTAACCTCATGTTAGTGTGAAATTCAAATATTTAATGCTAGAAAGGTCTTTGCTAGAAAAGTCTTAGCTACATTTTTTTTTTTTTTTACAAAACAGGAGTTAGACTCACAAAGAATAAATGACTTCCTCAAGGACATTAAACTAGTTATGGTAAGACTGGAGTCCAGGAGACTTATTAAAACTGATACTAAAACATTTAAAGATTTAGTGCAGATGATCATAAATACATGGATCCTTAAATTACAAAGCAATAACTATTAAAAATTACAAAACACAGTATTTCCCAATTCTCCTGCATCTGTAAAGCAGTGGTTATAGTAGAGTATTGAAAAGACTAATCTAGGTACAAATTTCTATGATGAATTAAACAAATGTTGGTATATAACTCCATGTTATATAGTATTTACTTAAATGTATTGCTTCAAATAGTCCACCATTTCAAATAATATAGAGTTTATTTGCAGCATTCAGATTACATTTCAACTTTTTATAGGTATAGTGATACTAATGGTAAAAAGCCACTAATATAATGATAATATTAAAAGATTATTACTGAAAATAAATTTAAATTAAGCACTCTTTCTTAAAAATTCTTTTTCCATATTTTAATTGGTACATTATAGTTGTACATAATGGTAGGATTTGTTATTATACATTTTCACATGAACATAATATCACTTTTTTGGGGGGTATGGGGATTGAACTCTGGGCACTCAACCATTGAGCCACATTGTGTTTTATTTGGAGACAGGGTCTCACTGAGTTGCTTAGTGTCTCACTTTTGCTGAGGTTGGCTCTGAACTCACGATCCTCCTGCCTCAGACTCCTAAGCTGCTGGGATTACAGGGATGTACCATTGCGCACGGCCAATATCACTTTTTTTTTTCCTAACAAGATCATTATACTCAAAAATATTTCTTATATTCAGAAATTCAATCATAAATGAGATTTATCAATTTTTTTTTCTGTTACTAGAAAGTTATTAGGGAATATGAATGCTCTTATTCCCTTAAAGAAGGTGAAGTTAGGAAGAGAAGCACTAAAATTAGGCAAAAAGGAATAGAAAGTAGAAATAGGAGGAAAGGAAACATAATTTATGTTCTTAAAAATATTGCCTAGATGTAATCTTGTCTGAGATTTGCATTCAAATTTAAGCTTGGATAAAGCTGACACAAGCATCAGAGTTTTGTTTTGTTTTGTTTTTAAGGCAAATTTAAGCTTGGTCAGAACTTACCTTTGTCACTGTGACAGCTTTAAATAAATTGTTAATTTTCTTTTTGTAATTTCAAATTTCAAAAATCATATACATTAATGTGTTTTTTCCACAAGAGGAGAGGCAAAACACTTTCTCTCTCTCTCTGTCTCTTTTTTCCTTGCTAAGTTGCTTAGGGCCTCACTAAGTTGCTGAGGCTGGCTTTGAACTCAAAATCCTCCTATCTCACCCTCCCGAATTGCTGGCATTACAGCCACCTCCACATGTAGCCACAAAACAATTTTTTCATGTGACAAATGCTCAGATTTTCTTTAAAAAGATGAAGACTTTGGGCTGGGGATGTGGCTCAAGCGGTAGTGCGCTCGCCTGGCATGCGCGCAGCCCAGGTTCGATCCTCAGCACCACATACAAACAAAGATGTTGTGTCCGCCGATAACTAAAAATAAATATTAAAATTCTCTCTCTCTCTCAAATAAATAAATAAATAAATAAATAAATAATATATATATATATTTTAAAAGATGGAGACTTATATGATTCCAGGGGAGCAGGAGGGAGACAAGAACATTTCATTGTGCCAAAAAATAAAGGGCTCAAAAAATGATAAGGATTTAGCAGAACATGGGACCCAGTGTGAAGGCATCCTAATGGCTACATCTGGAACAATTTAAGTGTCAAAAAGAATAATTATAATAATAATGAACTATAACATCCTAATTAAGAATCCATGACTGGCTTGGGAAGCTGAGCAGGAGGACTGTGAATTCAAAGTCAGCTAGCTTCAGCAAAAAAGCGCTAAACAACTCAGTGAGACCCTGTCTCCAAATAAAATATGAAATAGGGCTGGGGATATGGCTCAGTGGTCGAGTGCTCCTGAGTTCAATCCCCAGTACCCAAAAATAAAAATAAAAAAAGAATCCATGAGTTTATGTTGATATTATTATTATTATTATTATTATTATTATTATTATTATTATTATTATTTTAGCGAGGGATGGGGAAGAAAAAAGAAAACCATCTTTTACAAAAGAATAACAAATAAATGTAGATAGAATAATAAAAGTATCATAACCACCATAGAAATAATTGATTAAGGCAAGAGTAGATGGATACACAATTTCCTGGGCAAATGATTTATTAAGAACAGGACATTCGCAGTTTCAGTGCAGAACATCACTGGTTACTTATTAATTACAAAGGAAAAAGGAAATCTGTACAATGAAAATTTGGCCTGTACCACCTTGATCAAATTAGACATCACCAATAATGGGATTATTAGCCATGTGCCCCCTGATTTTATGCCTTAGGAAGAACACAATGTTATCTATGCAGCATACTGCCAAGAATACATAATTTAAACCTACTTATGAGGAAACAATCAGATAAATCCATATTAAGAGCTATTTTATAAAACAACTGGCTTGGACTATTGAAACTAAAAGTCAATTTCACAGTAGATTTTTTTTTTAAAAAAGCAGGAGAGAAAAAAAAAAGGAAAAACATTAGGAATCTCTTCTATATTATAGGAAACTAAAGACAACTAATTGATCTTTGATTAGAGCCTACACTGAAAGAAAATTAAAGCTTTAAGGGACATTATTGGAAAAACTAAAAAATTCTGAATATTAACCTTATATTAGGTAATACTGTTATCAACGCTAAATTGCATGAGATAATTATATTGTGATTATAAAGAAGACTTTAAACAGGTGAATTCCTTTTTCTTTGGAGACAAATGATGAAGCACTGGTGGGTTAAAAAAAAAGTACTATGATACTTGCAACTAATTGTCATGTGATTTAGGGCAAAAATGTGTGTGCAGAAATATAGAAAAAAGCAAATATTCAATATGATAATAATTGGTGAATTTAAGAAAAGTGAATATAAATGTTCATTGTGCTGTCCCAACTCTTTTGTAGGTTTGAGATTCTCGAAAATAAAAGCTGAAGAAAAAAGAAACTAATATTATTTAATAAAAAAAAATGTGATTCAATCTACACTATTTAGTGTTTAGACCATATAATACAGTTTCAATAAATTTTTGATTAAGTGAACAAATATCCTGGAATTATTTTTATAAAGCATATCATTATCCTAAGAACAATTGTTTAAAAAAACAATTATTCCTAAGAGAGTATCTGGAATTAAAATTCAAGCTCTAGTGAAGTCTGGCAGCAGGTACTATTTTTTTTTTCTTATTGATGTTGGTGTTATGACACAATCCATCATTTTAACTAGATCAGAAAGTATTGACATTTGAAAGAAGTAGCAAATAATATGTACTCTATGTACACGTAAAAGTTCTATGCTTTTTCTTATAAAGTGTCAGCACCAAAATAAAATGAACATTATATAAAAGAAGTTGAAAGACTTTCTAATTCTATGTCAGCTAAATAACATTTTTTCCTTAAAAAAAAAAAGTTACTAAAAGTATTTCCTATACCCTGCACCTTGATAACAAATGAAATGTTTGAATAATAATAATAATAATAATAATAATAATTATCATCTATGACCAAAGCTTTTAAAATTAGAAACAAACCAGTCTGGCATATTTTACTGATTCAAAAGGAAAGGTATAGGGCTGTGATTGTAGCTCAGTGGTAGAGTGCTTGCCTGGCATGTGTGTCATTGGATTCCATCCTGAGCACCACACAGAAATGAAAGAAAGAAAGAAAAAAAGAAAAAGAAAGAAAGAAAGCTATGCTGTCCATCTACAACTGCAAAAAAATAAAATAAAATATTTTTTTTTTTTAAAAAAAGGCACAGTTGAAGGCTAAATAGAAAAACAAGGGGCTGGGGATGTGGCTCAAGTGGTAGTGCGCTCGCCTGGCATGCGTGCGGCCCGGGTTCGATCCTCAGCACCACATACAAACAAAGATGTTGTGCCCGCCGATAACTAAAAATAAATAAATAAATATTAAAAAAAAAAAAAAGAAAAGAAAGAAAAACAAAGCAGACTACTTCATTGAACACTATATATCCAAGAGTGCTATGGCTTGGATATGAAATGCAGAGTTGGGGAACTGGGGAAGTGATTGGATGATGAGGGAAACTGTAGGGGCCCATTGGAGGAAATAGGTCCCTGGAAGGCTATTTCTCGTCATCCACCCTTTCCCCCACCTGGGTGAAAACAATGGAGCCAGCCAACCATATATTAAAACCTTTGAGTAAAAAAGAAATCTTTCCTCCTCTATTTTGTTTTTCTTAGGTTTATTATTCCATCAACAAAAAGCTAATGCCAAGAGAACATGATGAAGAAAAATGATGGAGGAAAGATAAATGCTATTGATAAATAAAAATCATACATGCTAGGTAAATGTTCTACCACTGAGCTACATCGCAACCCTTTCAATTTTATTTTTGAGAAAAGGTCTCATTAAATTGCCCAGGCTGTCTTAGAACTTGTTTCCTGCCTCAGTCTCCCCAGTTGCTGGGATTACAGGTGTGCACCATTATGCCTGGCTGTGGTCTTTTTTTCTGATGCATGATTTCTTACCACCTTATAGAAGTTTTTGTAATTTTTTATAAACAAAAAACTAGTTTAGTTTTTTAATTATACTGAATTCCACATATAATTATTTTTTAATATGAAAAACTATTATGCATAATTTCACTATTACAGACTTTGTATATGAAAGAATTAATCAATAAATATGCTTAGTATATATTAACTGAAAATTATATACCACTATAGAGGGAGATTACTTCCTTGCTTTTACCAAGACATTCTCCTCAATTACTGATACTACATAATTTAGCAATAGTTTCTCACTATCCTGGGGAATCAATGTCAGAGAAATAAAAGGTATAACATCAAGTTAAGGAAAAAGAAGTAATGAAGGGACTCATTTTTTGGTATTCGTTGTGTTAATTAGTGTACTAGTACTATTCTTGTAGCATTGCAGTCTGGCTTGGGAAAAATACTGTCACAGTTTTCTCAGCAATTTCTTACCCTAAAATCTCAGACATCCCTTCTTGGCTATCATTCTGTCTGTTACCACTTTTAAATTAGTTCCTTTGATTAGTAATGAATAGCATAACTCTAATAGTATATTGGACATTAAAGAGAAAGCAGATTTCATAGAAATTTTCTTACGGGCTTCTTTTTAGGAATATATATTTGGAAATGAGAGCATGGACATGAATATATAGTTCAAGTGAGTTGAATTTTGTTCATTCAAACATTCTTACAACAGTTTTTGTTGTTCCTTCTTAAAATTTAAGTTTTTTGCCTTAAGTTTTAGTGAAAGTTGTCATCTAAGTCAATGATCCGTATGTTTTTTGCAAATAAAAGACCAGGGGATCAACCTCAATTAAATATCATGTATTTTCTTAACACCTGCATAAATGTGTCAAATTTCTGGATAAGTGAATAATATAATTAGTTGCATTCTGATAATTAATACAATGTGGATTTGTGTACACATCTTTTATATATTCTTGTAGTCATTTGCTTTGATTTTAAAAGATGTATCAATTTTTTTAAAAAGATGGACACAACACCTTTATTTTGTTTATTTAGTTTTATGTGGTGCTGGGGATGGAACCCAGGGCCTTACACATGCTAGGCAAGTGTTCTACCACTAAGCTACACCCCTAGCCCCAAGATGTATCAATTTTTATTATACCTTACATAAAAGAAGTGTGTCTGAGGCAGAATGAAACTTATCCCTTGCTTCTCTTGATTTCTTTTTTGTTTATCCTTCTAAAAAAAGAAAATAGCAGCTTCATTATCTGTGTTTATTTATGAAAAAATGAAGTATGTGGTGGGAAAGGTATATCCAAGTGCTGTGGATTCTGATAGCCTTTCTGGTTTTAAATCAGCTTCTCCCATAATTGACTGGAACACAGCTGAAAAAAATATTAAGCTGCTTTTGTAAGGAGGAATTTGGTAATTTCAGTGAGCTACTAATATACATAGACATATTCTGATACAGAATAGGGATTTAATATACTGTCTTATAAGGGAGAGGTCTGTTAAAAAAGAATATTTAAGCAACATAATACTCATTTCTGTCAACTGAAGTGCTCATAATAGATTATAAAATCTACCCAGTCCTCCCAAATAATAATCCTTTAAAAAAAGTAATTATCAGTAACCTCTGAGTAATTGACCATACCAAAGCTTGCAAGTGATTCCAAAGACTTTTTAGCATCCAGGCCTGATTTTATAAGCCAAGTGAAAAGGGTTCTAGGAAAAATCTTTCATTGGCACTTTTATGAATGATTGCTTAATTCCTACAAGTAGCATCACTTGTATTTTTAGAAGTCCTATGTAAGAAATTTGAAAGATATTAAATTTTAAGACTAATTATTTTGCCAAGAATAAAAAAGTCAAGTAGTAGCAACACTCACCCACCTTCACTAACCAGCTCACTATTGTCTGATTGCTTACAAGAGATGATCTTCTCCACTAGTTGGTTGTAGCTGCAGTTACCAACAGCTTTTACAATGTCATCAATCTAGAAAACAAATGACTATCTCACTAATCATGGTAAATTAGAAACAATAACAAAAGAAATCCAAATCACTTTTTTAAGATTTTTATTCTAATACAATAATAAATATAAAAGTAAGACTTATGAAAAAAGAAAATCAGCACTGAAAACAACACAAAACAGTTTCCAATTTTTTTATAGCTCGATGTAATACATTATGTAAGACATTACAAAGTTGTACTTCAATTATGCAAAAATTATAAAATCAGATTATCACATGCAACTTTATTTTTTGTTTATTGTTTGTTTTTTGAGGTACTGGGAATTGAACCCAGGGTCCCAAGCACTGAGATATACCACCAGTCCTTTTTATTTATTCTAAGTTGCCCATGCTGGCCTTGAAGTTGTGGTTCCCCTGCCTCAGTCTTCCAAGTAGATGAGATTATAGGTGTGCATCACAACTTTATTTATTAGGGTTAAAAAGATGCACTTAAGTGATTAAAATAAATGTGGTTTATTTCAATAGGAAAAATAAAAAACTGTAGTGTTTATTTTAACTAAAAATGGCTCACATTTAAAGCAAGGCAAATATAAATTTGCTAATTCATAGGGTTAACGAAGTCCTTCCATTTTATTTATTATTTAGTTTCTAGAAAAGTGTAGTGGAAATATGACCAGATATAACTAATGTTGTTTTCCTGGAGGAAGGTTAATATATATTAATCAAGAACAACATATGCATCAGGATTCTTATTTAATCTTTGTCTTTACAGGTATAGAAGGAAAGTAAATTCAAACTTTTAAGCTATAAGAAATGTAATTGGGTATTTATACTTTCCTTGCATTATTCTTTGCTTTGACTATTGAAGAAAAAAAGTTTCTGTTGCCCAAACAACTTATTTCTATTATCTTCATATCCTTAAAAAATACATTTATATTTACTTTTAAATTATATACATGCATCATGGTATTAATATGTTAACCACACAATAAAAGAAAAATACAAATTAAATAATGATGCAAAGAAAAATAAGCGAAAAATAAGAAATGTTTCTTCCTACATCTAAATGATCATTATGAATATTTATTCTTTGAATATCATAGTTCTTGACATATATCTGTTCAAGTAATACTCTGGATGGTGCCTCTCAAACAAGGGGGTTAATTTAAAAGATCTAAAAAAGTTCCAGGCTCAGGTTACTTGATCATAAGTTCAAGGGCAACCTGGGCAACTTAGATGACCTTGTCTCAAAATAAAAAGGGTTGGATTTGTAGCTTAGTGGTAGAGAACTTGCCTAGCATGTAAGAGGCCTTGGGTTTGACCCCCACTACCACACACTACAACAAAATAAAATAAGAGAAAGTAAAGTAAAATAAAAAGAAAAACCCAAAGCAGGAAATTGTGGGAAATGTTATATATGTATCTTATACATTTCATGTTAACTTAAAAAACAAAGATGTATTCACTTGTCAGTCTTTTGATGGAAAACCAAATAAGATCTTTTGAGAGAAAATCCTTGGGCTATTACTCAATGCAAATCACACACACACAAAAAAACACATATCTATGATTTCTATTTTTGATTCCTTCAACATGAGAACTTAGATACTTAATTAAAAATTTAAGGGCATGATATCTTATCATTATTTTTCTCAAGACCTTTATTTTTAAAATTTTCTTTATTTTTTTATATTTATTTTTTAGTTATAGGTAGACACAATATCTTTATTTTTAGCTGGTGCTGAGGATCAAACCCAGTGCCTCACGCATGGGAGGCGAGCACTCTAACTTTGAGCCAAAACCCCAGCCCAAGACCTTTATTTTTCTCAAGACTATTTATAGTACTTTTCTCCATTAAGTCTTCCCAACGAATCTAAAGTTTTAATTCTAAGAAATACATACAAATATGACTAGAGTGGCTCAGTGATTAAGAACCCATGGGTTCAAAAATCACAAAAATCTGACTAGAATAAAATAAATATATGAACACCAATTAAATTTAAAACAGACTAGCAATAAATACAAAATTTCAAATTTCTATAAGAAGAATATCTACATTCATACTTCATTAATTTATTTGAGTGCCTATTACATACCACTATGTAACATGTGCTGTTAGAGAAGCTGTGCACACAGCAGAGAACAAAACTGTCTGTGTTTTCAGAAAGATTACATTCTAGAGTAAAAAACAAACAATAGATCAAATAAACAAATATATAATTTGCTAGGTAGTTGTGTGTAGTGTGTAACTGCTGTTTGTTCATTTTCATTGTAGTACAATATTCCAAAATATAAATATACCCCAATTATTTCATCTTTTGGTGGTTATTTGAATTCTTTCCAGTTTGAGGCTATGGCAAATAATCCTGCTATGAACATTCATGTACATTTATCCTGTTTCACACATGGAGAGTATGAACATTCATGTACATTTATCCTGTTCACACATTGAGAGTGAAAACTTTCAATGTGTGAAACAGGATAAATGTACATGAATGTTCATAGCAGTATTATTTGCCATAGCATATAATACTGCTAATAGCATCTAAGTTCTCATGTTGAAGGAATCATTGTTTCCCAGAGTATATGGCTAATTTCCATTCTTATTATCAGGATCTAAAAATTCACAATGTTGAAATCTTCTCCAACATTCAATATTGTTAGACTTTCACATGTTGGCTAGCTTGACAAGGTTATAATGGTATCTCATTTTTATTTCAATCTGTATTACCTTCATGACAAATTGGTAAGTTCACTGGCCATTTGGATATCCATTTTTGTGAAATGTCTGTTTGATCCTTTTTTTACTGAGTTGTCTACCTTTTAAAAAATTATTTCTGGGAGTTCTTTATACCTTCTAGATATTAATCTTCTATAAGTTGCAGTCATGTACTCTGTGGCTTGCTTTTACATCCTCTTTGGATGACTTTAGATGAACTCAAATTCTCAATTTTAAGGTAGTCATGTTTACTAATGTTTCCTTTATAGGTTAATGGATTTGTATTGTTTAGAAATTCCTCCCTATTGTTGGGTCTCAAACATTTAGTTTTATATTTGTTTTTTTAAATATTTATTTTTTAGTTGTAATTGTACACAATACCTTTATTTTATTTATTTTTATGTGGTGCTAAGGATCGAACCCAGGGCCTCAAACGTGCTAGGCAAGTACTCTACTACTGAGCCACAACCCCAGCCCCTAGTTTTATTTTATTTTTTACAGTTAAACTTTAATGCACATGGAACAGAATCATTATTGTGTGAATTGTGGAAAACAAATTTCATTTTTCCACTATGGCCAACAAATTGTCTTGGCACCTTTTATTGAAAGAATTGCTCTTCCCTCTTGCTCTGTAATGCCCTATTTCTGTCTACATAAGCATAGTGGTTTATTTTTGGGGGGTGGGGTGGCTCTATTCTCTGGTCTAATTCTTAATTATAATATTAGCTATTTCATATATGAAAAAGTATGTCCTCCCTACTTGTTCTACTTCAAGAATATCGATGTTTATTACTGGCCTTTTCTACTTTCATATAAGTTATTAAAAAAAAAAAAAAAAAACATGTTGGGCTGGGGATGTGGCTCAAGCGGTAACGCCCTCACCTGGCATGCGCGGGGCGCTGGGTTCAATCATCAGCACCACATAAAATAAAGATGCTGTGCCCACTGAAAACTGAAAAATAAATATTAAAAAATTCTCTCCCCCCCCCCCCCTAAAAAAAAAAAAAACCGTCTTCCCTCCCCCACCCCCCCCCCCCTCAACCCCCCCCCCCCCCCCCCCCACCCCCAGTTTGCTGGAATTTTGTTTGATTGTACTTTTTGGAAAAACTGGAATCTGTATAATTCCAGTCTTGAAATTTAAGAGCACCACATCTCTGTATTTTATTTATATGGGTCTCTAATTTCTTTCAAATATAAAAATTATTTCCAAAGCCAGGTATGGTAGGCTATGCCTGTAGTCCCAGGTACTTGGGGCCTGGGGAGGAAGGATGGCTTGAGTTCAGGAGTTCAGGGCCAGCCTGGGCAACATAGTAAGGTAATGTCTCTTAAAAATAAATAAATAAAACTAAAAAAAAATTATTCTCATAGATGTCTTATGCATCTTTTTGTCACATTTATTCCTAAAAACTTATGCTATATAAATAATGTTTTAAAATTTTCACTTTCTATTTATCATTTAATCATTTTCAAAGAATTTTAGCTTTGCTCATCTTCCTTATATTTACTTCCTACTTTGATACTTTCTGCTTTATTAAGATGGATATACAGCTCATTAATTTTTAGTCTTCTCCTTTAATATATGAACTTAAGGTTTAAAGATCTCTCTAAAAACTATTCTGGTTAAATCTCACAAGTTTTTTTTTTTAATATTTATTTTTTAGTTGTAGTTGGACACAATGCTTTTATTTTATTTATTGATTTTTATGTGGTGCTAAGGATCAAATCCAGGGCGAGCACGCGCTAGGCGAGTGCTCTACCGCTGAACCACAACCCCAGCCCAAATCTCACAGGTTTTAATATGGATTTAGTTACTATGTAATTAAAAATATATTCTAAATTACATTATTATTTTCTTGACCCAAGTAGTTTCTATTTATTGTTTTTCTACTGATTTCTAGATAAATTGCACTGTGGTCAGAGAAAGAAAATTTAATCCACTAGAGAAGACTAGAAAGATAGGATGATTAAATGCAATATGATACCCTGGATTTTGGAACACCATCAACAACAACAAAAAAATTGGTGGAAAAATATGTGAAATTTGAATGAAGATTATAATTTAGTTAATATAGTGATGTACCAATATGAAATTCCATACATGTATCACGGTCATATAAGACATTAACATTAAGGAATTCTCTCTAGTATTTTCCAATTTTCCTATAAATCTGAAATTGTTCAAAAATAATAGAATTATGAAAGAATGTAAATTTATTACATTTTTTCTTTTGTTTCTATTAATTATAGAGATAGGTAATTAAAATCTTTCACTGTGACAATGTCAAATTTTGCTTATGCACTTAT